ATGGGCTTGTTAACCTCTTTTATAAGTTCTTTTAAGTTCTTGCTTAGCTGGCCGCCTACTTAAGGGCAGACTTGTAATTAGTCAAATTAATGAAAATTAATAAAAATTAGTGAGGGGAGAGAGGAGATTATCGAACTCTCTTCTTCTAAAACACTTACCAAACACCTCTTAAATTTGCCTAAGGTTAATTTCAGGTTTAAATGGGAGTGGGGAGTCACCGCCTAATTTTTGTAAAGAAAAAAAGAAAAAAAGAAAACTTTAGAAAATGCTAATTTTTGTCAAAGGAAGGCTACAAACTACTATGGTTCCAATTCATGGTCATACCAAATAGGTCCAAATTAATGTTCCAGCAATCTTATGCATGGTACCTTAGTTTTGAGCTCAAAGGGAGTCTCCACATTCCTCTCTCCACCTAGAAGATTTAGCCCAAAGACTTTGCCTCTATGTTCAAAATAGGACTTTTGTATAAAACATTTATATTAAAATTAAAAGATGGATGGTTATACACCATACATTTACTAATCAAAAATAGTTAAGGGAAAATCTATGAGACTCGAAAGACATGATTCCAGAAACTTTTAATAATCAAAACCCCTCTGGAATTCTAATGAAACCCCATCTGATTGGTTACTATATGATGTTGGTTGATTGATTATAAGTTTTTTTTGGTATCATGTCTTTTCGGCTTTGTAGTCGAACCCAAAGACATGGTATGGAAAGAATTTTGACCAATCAAATCCACCCATGAATTTATTTGCTACCACGTTTATGATTCTAGTTTATTGATCAATTGTTTTTCGGATATCATATCTTTTCTATATCATAGTCAAACCCTCTTTTTTAGTCTCTTCTTGAAGGCCTAAACCGTAAAGACAAAGCAAAACAGTGACTATGTTAGCACATCCTGTGGCCATTCATTACATATATTGGCTAGTGATTTACATGGCATGTGTAATGTTTAGGACACCTTTATCATAGCTGCTTTTTGCTATCTATGATTTTTTTAAATTAAATCTGGTTTAGATTAAACATCTCCTACTCCTAGATATAAAAAATTTCTTCTTATTTTATATTAAATGAATGTGGTCTTTTTCATGAACATATATTTTACGTAACTAATCTCTTATAGTTGGGATAAGGCTGGATGATGATATAGTTGTGCCCTATAAATTAAGTGAAAACATAAAAGAGACTTGAGACAATTAGAAGATCAAAGGAAGACAAATAGTAGGTTGAAGAAGATGATTGTGATGTTCCATTCTCTAATTGAATATTTGTAGAGATTACAATAAGTGGTAGAAGTTTACAATGAGAATGACTCTCTAACGCCCCGTTTGCTTTTCGGAAAGTTGTTTATCTGGGTAAGTGCATTTACCTATATTCTTTTATTCCCAGGTAAATAAGAAAACGATTGTTTTAACCATAATAATCCATTATTAAAAGGGGCAATTTTGTCCCATCCAAGTGTTGGCAACTTTCCCCCATGTGGAAAAGTTATTTATCCACCTGGGAGATGGGTATCACTTACCCAAGGAAAATTGGACCCTAGATAAATCTAGTAAAAGAACATGGACATTTTAGTCAATGGGAACCAAAATCCTATTCATCAACTTCCCCACCCCCCCCCCTCTCAAAAAAAACTGAACTTTACAAAAAACTGTTTAAGTCAACCATCAGATTCTAAGGGCAAACACTATCTAACAATTAACACCCAATAATGACTACAATTCCAAAGTTCTTAAGCATCAACAAAATACATTATATGATTGAACACAAAACATCTTTATTGTTTAAATATAGGAAGTTGGGAACAAACTTGTAAAAATGAACCTAAAGTGAACATTTTTGCTAGGCTTTCAACCAAGCTCAGTTTCATTGACCTTCCCATGAAGACAATTCTGGAGTTTCTGTTTCTTTCCAAGTCCAAGAACTTTTTGCATATCTTTCACCCTTAACAGCATCTGATGAAGCAAGGTTTTCAAGTTCAACCATTTCTTCTCTTGTCAGTTCCACAGATAGGGCTCCAATGTTTTGGTTGAAATTAGTAATTTTCGTGGTGCCTGGTATAGGACACACATCACTTCCTTGGTGATGGACCCAAGCCAAAGCAAGTTGAGCAGGAGTGCACCCCTTCTTCTTAGACATTTCATTTACACGCTCAAATATATGTTTGTTGTGCTCAAGATTTTCAGGTTGAAACCGTGGGAGAGTCTACTAGAAATTCAATTGAATGTCCTTAGTTTCATAGTTGGTGGAATTTAACGGTAAGAAAATAAAAAACGCTTTAAATATAGAAATCAATAAGAGAGAATGGGAGTTAATATCTTAAATATAGGATTCAATGAAAGAGTAGGATGAACTGAAAAGTAGTCGTCCAACTTAAGTTTTTAGCCTTCACTATAGAGAGGGACCAGATTAGAAATAAGATCTCATATATATAATTGAAGTTCATGTACAGATGGCAAGTTACCAACCTTACGAAAATCGTCATCAGAAAGATTTTCAACAACCTTGTATCCAGAGGAGAAGAACCCCCTTCCTAGAGGACTATATGCCACAATTCCGATGCCAAGTTCTCTAAATAATAAAAGAAAATTAATTATACATTTGGGAGAAAAATCTGTGATGCGGGAAAGACATGGTATTGCATGAGTTTTGACTAATCAAAACTCACCCATGAATTTTGCTAAATAACACCTGATTGGCTACCATGTTTATGATATCAGTTGATTGATCAGAAGTTTTTTGGATATCATATCTTTTCGGTATCATAATCAAACCCATATATTGAATATGCAACTGTAAATAAGCTAGCAGAGTAAATACATGCCTACAGGTAGGAATTATATCAGCTTCTGCTTCTCTTTCCCATAAAGACCACTCCAATTGCACTGCTGTTATTGGATGAACAGCATGTGGTCTTCTGATTGTTGAAGCAGAGGCTTCAGATAATCCTATATACTTTATCTTTCCTTCTCCAACTAGTTTTTTGAGTTCTCCAATCTTTAAAATTGGAAAGAAAAAAGCACAGTTAGCAGAACTGAAAATATACTTGTAATAGAGAAACTTGATATATGTCCACAAATAATAATAGATCAATTAGAATAAGACACAAATCTTAGGCAAGGTTCTAAATATCGGTACTTTCTTTTTTACTTTTTTTTTAATTTTTTTTTAAATCCAGTTCAGGGGACTGGTTTAAGGTTCCTCCACCCCCTGAACCGGTCAAAACCTCAATACATCCTCTATAAGGGCATATCGGAATGCTCTTGATATACATATCGGCCGATACGTACGTGTCGGTTTTTTGAACCTTGATCTTGGGGTAGATCAGCAAGCAGAGTTGATGTTATGTTTGTGTAGATGCTCATAATTTATTTATACTCTTCATTACTATTTAAAACTACAAATCTTGAGGCATAGAAATTGTTCATGGGAAGATAGCTGCAATATATCCAAACAATCGATTGGTAAGGAACCCAGTTCCCATGCATTTGAATTTTGAACTTAATTTAAAAGTGTTAACAACAATAATTTAGGGGTGTTTGGTTTCCCACAAACAAAGTTTTCTACTTTAACCATCTCAGTAAAAAAAGTATATTTGTTTTCCCATCTATCAAATAGAGTTGATAAATAAACTTCATCAGTATCTTTTTTTTTTTTTAATTTTTATTTGGTTTAAAAGACAAAAAGACCAAAGGTCTGTTTGGCGTGTCTTTCCGCACGGTTTTTCGGCTGTTTACAAGGCGTGAAGACCGATTTTTGGTCTATTTCCGTTTGACGCGCGGAAGATCTAGCCGCTAAAAAACAGAATGCCGAAAAGACGTGAGAAACCCATTTTTGGCTGATTTCGGGAAGCTCCAAATGAAGCTTCTCGCGTCTTTTGCATTTTAATCTCATGCAGAAAGATGCACGTCTGCCAAACGTGCTTTGGACTGCTCAGATCTTCATACAAAAGCTCAATACGTCTTTTGTATGTCAGAACTACCAGAAGATCTTCCCAAAAAGACACGCCAAATGGGCCCCAAATTATCAACAAAAAGAATTACAGGCATCTTCCAAATTACAATCAACAAAATCAAGAGGAATACTTACTCCATTCAATGGATTGACACATTAGAATAGCCTGACAGGCAAGCACATACACCACCTTAAGAGGAATACTTAGTCAAATTTGAGAGTGCTTAAAAATAAGTACTTATTTAAATAAACATGGGTTGAGACCACACCAATAAGCCCAAAATTTTTAACTGCTTATTCAGTAAGTGTCTATTTCCTTTCTCACTTACCTTGGCCTGCCACATCATTTTGAAAATACCTACACTACCCCTATCTAAAATAATAAATGTTTTTTCACCAAACTCTTGTAAGTACTTATTAGAATAGGCATTTACTTTCCAAATAAGCAATCCAAAACTTTCTTTTTAATTGATGATGCATTACTTTTGATAACTAACTTAGATAAACCTACTGATAAGACAAATTAAAGGCCACCTGATTGCTTTCTCACAAAATTAGGCCTTTTTCCTAGAAAAATATGGGGCTGAAGAAGACTCAGACTTCTGTTTTTGCTCAAGTGAAACCATGTACACTTGACAAAAGGAAGATGTAGACCGGCCGGTTTGATCCCAAAGGTGGTATTGAAAACTTTATCTGCCAAAGTTTGGGGGTCTTCCGAATCCTAGCCTCTTGGTTCTAATTTCGACATAAATTAGAACTTTGAGACCGTGGGAGCAATCAACAGTTTGTAAAATTTAATTTTAGTTGGGCCTTTAGTTGCCTATTTAACTTAGGTCTTGTTTGTTTTGTATTATTCGGGTAACACGTTTTCTCAATCAAGTGATTCTTGGGGAAATGTTGCCTGGATACTCACAAATACAGCGTTTGGCCGAGTGAAATGTTACCGGACAAGTAGATAAGTAAATTATTCATTCTCCAAGAGAGTACTGATCAATGTTTTAAAATTGACCTGGAACTAGAACTGCTTTGGCCACCGGTTTCCAGGTTTATGCTTCAATCATCCGGTTCAAATGGATGGCCTGTTACAAATTAAAATAAAAAATGGTCAAAACTGTTGCCCATGTCAAAAGGGTCGATAGTTTAACTGCCCGAATCAATGGATTATTGACCAAATAGACGGTTTTTGACCAAATAATGTAGACTACGTTACAGCCTTCTCCTACTCTGTTTTGCTCCCTCTTATACTAGAATCTTGTGAATCAAAAATCTTTGTTTGATCCTGGGTGCAAGTCAAGTGGGTTAGGCCAGATTTTACCTCAACCCAGGTTTGATCCTAAGAATTAGGCCTAAAGTCCAAATTCAATCTGATCCTGAAGTCAAGTCAGAATTAACCAAACTGAAACCAGCCTGCACTAAAATATGGTGCACTTGAATTGGATTCGGGCCCAGGTCAGATTCAGGTTCGTCAATCAGTCCATACTAAAAATTGAGACATATTTACATGTATATGTAAACATATATACATATATGTATAGTTTATTAGAAAATCATGCCTGTTGTTTGGCAAGTCTTTCTAAAAAGACCTTCCAACGGTCCAGATGGTCAAAAGACATATTAAGCTTTTGGGGTTTTGTCTTTAAAGACAATGACCATTTGGTAAGCGGCTTAGTCTACCAAACTTTTCAAAAATACATTTAAAGGCTATCTATCACGCAGAAAGACCAGAAAGCTTCTTGAAATTAGGCATTTTTAGTCTTGCTGGGTCTTTCCATACATGCATCTTCTCATTTTTCCAGATTTTCGATCTTTCAAACTTACCGAAATATATATATATATATATATATATATAGTGTCTGTCTATTGACTACTGATGTCATCAAATGAAGAAGAAAAATAAAGGGACTTACTGTGACTTCGATAGGAACCCGTTTATCAATGCGGTGCTGGTAATAGAGATCAATACAATCAATTCTCTTCAGGCTGGCCTCACATGATGCCCTCACATAGGCGGGATCCCCACAAATTTCTATGCTGCCGTCGGCGCCATAACTTCTGATCCCAAACTTGGTTGCCAACTCCACCTTCTCCGTCACTCCCTTCAGAGCCTAGGGATGCATCCAACCCAGTATGATTACAGTTGAAAAGCACAAATTTAAGTGGAAATTTCATTTTTCCTGTTAATGTGGTCAGTCCAGGTAAATCCAGCTCGAATAACCAACCCAAATTGCCATCTAAAGAGGTGTGTGTAGATCCAGATTCTGGAGTCTTGGACTTGCCAGATCGATCTTCGATCTTTGTCATAGGAATCATTCGATAAGGGGGCGTTTTTCTTGTTGCCAGTTTCGAAGACAAATCAAAACGATCTTGTTTGAAAACAGATTGCTTCTTAAAGTAAAAACACAAGAAACGTGTTATTCGTTGTGTACATGTTTTTTGTTTCCAAAACTGAAACAAAAAACATGTTCTTGAATCTGGTTTCAAAAAAAATGTTTTCATCCCATTATTCAACATCATGTTCTATAAATCATATAATTTCTATACCAGAAAATTTGTTTTTTGTTTTTAAAAACCAGTTGGCTCCCAAAATATGCATTGTTTTTTCAAAACAAAACCAACTTGTTTTTCACTTTGAAAACAAGAACAAAGTTCAAGAACAAGTTTTTTCTTTTTCTTTTTTTTTTTTGTTGATGTGGTGATTCCAAAAACAAATGAAGACAAAAACATTCATATCGTAGAACACACCCCCTAACCTGTTAGGTGGGTCCTTATAAATAGGTTTATTAGACTCGAAACTCGACCACTCCGATTAAACAATCTCCCGTACTATTTCAAGAAACCATTCAACATAAAAACTTAAACTGCACGTTGGAATCGTTCAAAGAAAAAATGATACCTTTCCAAGCAGAATTTCGTTGGTGTAAGGGCCATAGATATCAGAAGTGTCGAGGAAGGTGATGCCGCTGCTAATAGCATGGTGAATGAGAGCAATCATGTCCTCCTCTGGCTTTGGGGGCCCATAGACAGCGGACATGCCCATACAGCCCAGACCCTGAGCCGATACCTCCAGACCTTGAGAACCCAACTTCATCCTCCTTATCCCACCCATCATCTTTCTGAATATTAGTTCTTTGTTGGGATATTTTGTTCTCTCGTATTTGTAGACAATGGATGCAGTTGGGTTGGGTTTGGTCATTTCTTCTACTCTAGAACAAATAATTCAGAAAAATAAGAGAGAGAGGTGGGCCATGGGCCGTGATTGATATACTTTTGTTTTAGATTTCAGCTATTGTGCGTCATTCCAAAGACTATAAGACCAGAGGCTGAGTCATATCGGATAAAAGTCTATTTAAATAATTATTCCGGAAATCTAGGGCCGGCTACGGAGTCTTCGTTCTCAATTCCACAAGTTTGGGTGTGTGGGGTGTGCATTCGCCTATTCCACACCCTTTGAGAGACATCACAATTAGACATGTTAATGGGCTGGGCTTCGGGCCTGGCTTACGCTGTGTTGGGCTTGGGCTTCGGACTGGACTCTAATCAAAGTTTGGCAAAAGCTCAAGTTCGGCCCATAAACAGGTTTAGTCATAATAGTATCCGGTGCCACTGTTTTAAAAACCAAACCGGACCAGTTGATCAGACTGTTCGACCTAGGAATGGTCAGTTGTATGGTTTCGTTTTATGCTTGATCCGGAAATTTCCAAAAAAAAAGCATTGATTTGATCAGCAAACTGCTGATTTGGATGGTTGATCACTAAACCATTCGATGCGGAGAATGGTTTTTGGGTCATTTTTAATTTTTAAAATATAATGGGTTGATCCGTTCAAAACAGACAGTTGAACTGCTGACCTAAAAACCAGTGGCCAAAGTGGTTTCGTTTCTGGGTTGGTTTTTAAAACCTGGCCAGGTGCTAACAAAATGTCTAAGTTGTTGCATACGTTTTACTTTGGCTTCAACGTATTCTGATTTTTGTCTTACTCTTTTCTTTCCTTGGTTTACACAAATTTCATTAAAGAAGAGAAGGGCCTGTTTTGTTAGGACTGAAGCTTTGGTTGAATCAATGTCTTAAAAAGCTGATCCAAAGGCCTAAAGCAGGAGTTCAGTTCATTCCTTCACGTGGGCCTCAAGGTTCTCGATCTCACTCTTCAATGCCGTTTCACGCTCTTCGAGTTCCTTCTTCTCTGACATTAGCAGAGTTAGCAGCTCCTTACCTCGTGCGTCGTTCTTCAGTTGGTTGATTTCGTTGTGAGCTAAGTTCAGTTTGGTGTGGGTGTTTCAGGAAGACTCCTCGGCTTCGAGAGCCCGCTTTAGGTTCACCTCGGACTAGTAAGCCAAGGCGTGGATGGAGGAGTACCTGCCAAGAGAAGAAAACAAGCATCAGTATACAAAAAATCTAAGTGCAGGGCAATTTGAAAGATAAGTTCAAGAACATACAACCATACAGTGTGTGGCCGCTCAGGCCCCAAGCTGAGCAATTGGCAAGTCGGCCCAACAAGAAACCTCCTCAGTAAACACCGTGTCTTTGCTCTTGAGAAGGCTAAACTTCAGAGTCAAAATGCTCCGAACTAGAGCATCGCTGCCCAAAGACAGGGCAACCGCTGGAATAGGGTCTGAAGACATAGCCTCCTCGAGTATGTGGGGTGGGGTGGCCTTTCCCGAGTCCTCCTCAACCAGATCGATTACGAGAGGCTGCTCGGCGACAGGTGGGTGCTTGGGCTTAGGAACGACAACCTCAGTTGGGGGTGCTTCAGTCTCGACGCGATCCTTTTTGGAGGCTCTCTTCTTCTTCTTCCCCTTTTTCATGCTCCCGAAGAGTTCATCGGTAGGGATGTCGTCCATGGTAGCTGCAATAAGAAACGAGCTAAGTCAGATACAGTACCAAGGTAAAACGAATATAAAAAGTACAACAAGTAGCGGCCTACCAGGAGGACTTAGGATGGCTTGCACGAGCTTCTCCTCGGTCACGAAGTTTTCGAACTTCAGGTCGAGCTCTGCCCAAGATCAGACCTCCTCCCTTGCTTTCAGGTCTAGTCTAACGTTGGGGTCCTGGATGGCGGCCCTCCAGTGAGTCAGGAAGGGCCACCCCTCAGTGCTACGGACCACGAAATAACGCCTCTTCCTGGCCGGGACCTTATTAGGGAGCTCGTGCAACAGTTTGTACCTAGGACTAGGAGACAAGTAGTAAGTTCGCCTGTGCTCGGGCAAAACACAAGACGAATTTTTCTTAATAGAAAGGATCGAAGATAAGATGTCGAGGTCAAGGGGATGGTTGTAATCATGATAAAGAGAAATGGTCCCTACAATATTACGGATAGAGTTCGGGTGTAGCTGGTCTATGGTAATGTTAAAGAATTTAACGATCTCGATTATAAGGGGGTGAAGTGGGAGACGTGGACCATTTATGAGCTTCTCCTCGAAGACCATGATCTCATTGTGGTCATGATCCCAAGGAAAGTTGCCTAGGGGGATGCTATACACAAGGTTGCTAGGGAGTTTGTATCGGGCTACTAAGGCTAGGAGCCTGTTCGCCGTTATTTGACAAGCCGAAGTTGTCTGGCAACCGACCTCAGTGGGAGGTGGAAGCCAATTTACCAAAAACATTTTACTCCCGCTGAGGTGGAGGTGAGTCCACCTCAGGCGGACCGAGGACCACATCCTATCTTGAAGTGACCACCTTGATAGGACGAGCATCCACGATTAGAGCCGGGGTACCCACCTCGGCCCCAGTAGACTCGCCGCTCCCGTCTAGAAGACTACCTAAGCTAAGGCTAGACATATTAAAGGAAAGGACAATGGAATCAAAAGGAAAAAGCAAAGGAAGGTGGAGTCACCAAAATGAAGACCGAATAAAAGGAGACGACCTCGGACCCAGAAAAGGCTGATACCGAACTAAAAGACTTGAGCGCGACCTCAAAATTTGTGGGCTTGCGAACTTGTGGCGAAGAAAGTGGGCCCTTTGGCCCCTATTTATAGCCAGTATATTTGGGAATCAACGGCCAAGATCAACACGATCCGACGATTCCTAGGAAAACTAGTTGCACGCCTCCCGATGTTGAAATCAATATAGTGCGTGTTTTGACGTTCGTAGAGTCTATAATCGGCTTGACGTCTACGCGTACCGGGTACGCGATCTGGGTCACTTCCTGGTTGAGCCGAACAATCGAATAGGTCCGACCAACGACTCCCCCTCCACGTCACCAAGATTCCGTGCCAAATCCACCTAAGCTCGTCGTGAACTCCCCATGTTGGGTTTGGACCCCTGCCATGAGGAGTGGGGGGCAATTGATAAGGAGTAATTTAGGACGACCTAGTAAATAAAAGTCATGTAGACGCGATCTGCTTGTAGGATGACAACTCAGCAAGGGGAGCCTAGTTAGCGGTATGCGGAGCTCGGCATAAAGTCACTTCGACATAAAGTCACTTCGGCATAAGGTCACCTCGGCATAACACCACCTCGGCGGCTAATCGAGTTCGGGACCCAGGAACCGAAGTGACACGTAATAAATCCCAATAGCTTTCTAGCAGACTTCGAATATTACGGGATCATACCGCATAACAGCATGCCTTATCTTCTCCCCGTCCGAATCGGGCGGCGATAATGAGGTTCATTGATTGATACGTTACTCCCCGATTAAAGGGGTAACGGATCTCGCCCATTCAAGTTGCAGATCTCGGAACTGTTCTGGGAAATCCGCAATAACTTAGCTATATAAGAGCATTAACCCCTCCATGGTCCAATTACGTGCGATTACTTGCATACAAGCTCTCTAGCACTCAGATTCTAGCTCCCAATCACGACACAGTACTGACTTAAGCATCGGAACGACCTTGTCGGGTTAACCGCCCCGGGTGCTCTAATCCTCTGTCTCACAGCTTAGTCCAACTCGCTACACGACTAAGGTCTAGGTCATCCTTTAGGTAGGAGCTTCCAGATCACGCATCATCATACACCAATCCATTCTTGAACTGATCCATTTCCAAACAGTCATGAATGATGTTTCTGAGGTTCGAAAGGGTGTTATCACTTGTTGCAGGCACGAAATCACGAACTTTAAGTCATCCTCTATAATAATAGGATAATCTTTTTAAGTTCAAGGCCAGGTTGTGCACTTCCCAAGCAGCTAAGGCTTAATAGTTGCGATGCCAAGATTATATGCTATAACCATGGTTTAAAGTATCAATATGATACACCCCATATTGGGTGTATCGTATTGTATCATTTGAAAAAGATACGCCCCAAAATACCTTTTTTTTTTTTTAATAACATGGCTATAACCATGGTTCCGAAACACCTTTTTTGATAAAAAGTACCTATTTTTAACTTCCTTAAAAACCAAAATGTGGAAAAAAAAAACTAAAAGAAGGTATTTCGGGTGTTTCTATGTACTGATACGATACTGCCGATATGCGTATCGTATCGATACTTTAAACCATGGCTATAACATTAACAATTTCACTAAGATGGTTTCTTGCATTATTGCCTATCGAACAAATGCCAGCATTGGTACGGGAAGCATCAAAATTGATTTTAATCATACCTAGTTCTGATTATTGCCGCTTGATGTGCTTCCAAGTCTTAATGGTCTTGTCCCGTAATATTTTTGCAAATACTGGACCACCAAACTCTCAAAAAAAGTCCTGAACCTTCAGCCCCATTAGATTTGGATTAACAACCATGTAAGCTTGCTTAACAATCATAAGGTTTTTAGATATAGATCCAAATCCTCCTCAGAGTCTACAACAGCCATCAATATTTTCTCCTTTCCTCCTAAGAAGATTTTTTGATGGAAGCTTGTTATTAAGGCTCGGTTTGGAAGGAATACAATACAAATATGTACGGTGCAAAATGCATACAAAATAGTACAAAATACTTTACATATTTGTATCTGTACTCCTAAGGAGACGGAGGAAAACTTTCATCATAGGGGGGGCATTTGAGCTTCCAAACTTAGAAATTCAATTGAAATCATTAGAGTTTAGTCTCCGGATCATTTTATTTTCTTTAGGTTCCAAAACTTAAGGTTGTTGTTTTCAATTGAATCATGGGGAATATTTTCAGAAATCAATGAATCACCAGCCCATCCATCTATCATGCCAACAGTTAATTGATCTACCATTTCCAAGCTCTCATCCAACACCTCTGCTGAGAAGATATCTTGCCATCAAGATTCCCCTCCAAGT